TCAAAACAGAAATGAACAACAACACGAAAAAAAAAAACCCACGCTCTCTGTGTGCGTGATTATGCGCTAAGAGGGGCGGGGACCTCTCTCTGCGGGGGCGCGGGTGAACAACACAACACAAAACACACAGAACGAAAAAAAAAAAAAGAAGCGGAATAAGAACAGCAACAAACACGGTTGTGTTGTGAGCCACCGGTCTCGCAGAGAACACAGATCCACACCGAGACACAGCAAACGGCGTGGGTGGAGAGAGCGCAAAGAAGGAAAGGCAGCGACAAGTTAGTCGGTGCCCCTGAATCAAGTTCCGTTTAAAGCCGCTGCTTAACCGATGCGTGCAGTTACACTCCACAGCTGCTGCTGTGGCATCAATACACTTCTCCATCCCCCTTTTTCCCTCTACAACCGCGCCGTAGACACAGCGGCCCCCACACGCCTCACAACCCCCCACACAGGCACATGCCTCACTGCTGCGGCGCCACCAAAAACGGCNGCGCCGTAGACACAGCGGCCCCCACACGCCTCACAACCCCCCACACAGGCACATGCCTCACTGCTGCGGCGCCACCAAAAACGGCGTGTCGGTGACTTTTGGCGGGCGCGGCGTCGGCTTCGTGATGCGCACCGTCTCCCTCACGTCGGTCGTGGTGCGCTTCGGCTCCAACGTCGGCACCCGCATCATCAGGCGCTGCAGCAGCGGCGAGCGCAGGGTCGAAAGCAGTGCTGCGTCCTCTTCATGCGCCTCGTCCCCGTCACCGCCGCGCCCGCGTTTGCTGCTGGCGCTGCCGAGAATCTCCTCCGACGACACGCCGCCCTTCGAGCGCAGCAGCTCCGTTTTGAGCGCGTGCCGCTTGGCGTACATGCAGACGTGCCGCCCGCCACTCGGACCACCACCGTTGCTTCCGCCGTTCTTGTTGTTGTTGTTGTTGTTGTCACTGTTCTCCCCCTCGTCGTCACTGCCGCTGTTGCTGTCGTTGCTGTTCTTATTCCTCTTCTTGTCACTATCGGGGGAGTCCGTGTTTACGGCGCTTTTGATGCGCGAGAGGACGTCGGCAAAGCCGACTGACTGCGTGCTCCACGTCTCCTGCACGCCGCCCTCGTAGCCGACGCCCATCACGCCATCCTTGCGCCGCGTCTTGACGTGGCTGGTGACGCCCTCCTGGTTCTTGCCGAGCCCGCTGCCCTCGGTCCAGCCGGAGCGCTGCAGCAGCGACTTGCCGATGTTCTTCTCCGACTTCGACCACCGCGTGCCGTTCGGATCGTCACACATTCCCTTCTCTGTGGTTGTGTAGAAGTGTGGATGTCTCTCACTCACTCACTCACTCTGTGTGTGTGTGTG